TTTTTATTTATTTTTATTAAAATTATTTTTATTTATTGATTTTAAAGAGAGAGGAAGGGAGAGGGAGAGAGAAACATCACTGAGCGAGAACATCAGTTGGCTGCCTCCTGCATGCCCCCCACTGGGGATTTGACCCACAACCTGGGTCAACACTCAACACCAGCATGGCTATTTTTTATTTTTTGGAGGGGGGCGGTTTTAAAATCTTTTAAGGTGAACCAAACTCAATTTAAATGAATATTGAAGTAAAATTTAGTTACTGGTGGGCTAGTACCACACATGACAAGGATATATAACAGGTCACTTGCTTCTTTTCATATTAGAAAATAATTACCTCTCCCCTCTTTTCTTTTTCTCTTATAAATTGTTTGCTATAAAGGAAGGAACCAGTTGAATAAAAGTAGGGCAAGCAAGAGCGTCTTAAATACTGTAATAAAAAATATAGTAGTAGATATTAGGTCTTAGAGGCTACTCTTCTTACAGCATACCTTACAATAAGTGTTGGTTATAATTTATCTAGAAAAGATACCTTTAAATTAAAGCTAGCAGTCAAAATCTGTGTGTGTGTGTGTGTGTGTGTGTGAGAGAGAGAGAGAGAGAGAGAGAGAGAGAGAGAGAATTCTGATCAATGTAACTTGGAGGTACAGGTATTTTTATACCTTCATATTTGAAAACGTAGACATAAGAAATTATGAAAATGAAGCAAGCTGTAAAAACATAAAAACAAAGTAATCTAATTTAGGCCTGGTTAAAAAAATGAAGAAACAAGTAGCTTGTCTATACAAATGGCCTGTCTTGGCTCATGCTTTTGACTTGGCTCATGCTTCTGACTTGGCTCATGCTTCCTACTTTCCTAAAGTCCCTCAAACAAGCAGCGTCTGGCTTCAGCATGCCTGTACCTCTTGCTAAGTGGCCCCAGGCCCAGCTCTGGCAGCAGCCCACCTTGGTTCCAGCTTGGCCTCTCCTGGGTACCTCCAAACCCAGCACAAGTAGCAGCCATCTGAAAATCACTCATGCTGGGGGGCACTAGGGCAGAATATAGTCAGCGGCTGACTTTTGCCTGCACCTTCCGGGAGACCTCAGAGCCAGGGCACCCAGTAGATAGCTTCAGACCATGTTGAAGCATTACCCAACCACCTCCACAAGTGACACACTCAAGGGGCAGACTCATCAAGCACCTGAACCCCAATGAAGTCAGTCCTGCTCTGTGGACAGGGTAAATCCCTCCCATTGATGTGCCAACAGTAATCAAGGCTCAACTACAACAGGAGAGTATACACAGCCCACACTGGGGGAGGGGGCACTTGGATACCCAGCTCAGGTGAATGGGGAGACTGTGCCACTGGACTCTACAGGGCACCTACTACATTAGGACACTCTCCCAAGCCTGGGAGACTTGCCAGCTCTACCTAATACATAACTTTTTTCACTTAGTATATTGCCCTCAAGATCCATCTGTATTGTTGCTAATAGCAATTTACAAAATGATTTGTTAGTTGTTAATTCCAAAATTGTTTAGATGAGGTCACAATTAGTGTAGCATAGTAATAATAGCTAATGTTTCTTGTATTGTTATTGCAGTTCACATGCATTATCTCTTTTTTAATTTTTTATCTTTATTGTTGAATGTATTACAGATGTTCCTCATTTTTCCCCCATTGACCTCTTCCTTCCCACTCTCACCCCCCTCCCGCCTTTTCCCACACTGTGTCTGTGTCCATTGGTTATGCATATAAGTTCTTTGGTTTATTTCTTCCCACCCCCCAACTCCCTTCTCTTTGAGGTTGTCAGTGTAGCAACCAATTTGTTCTTCTTACTCCCTTCACCTTTTTCACCCACTCCCCCAAACCCCCTCCCATCTGGCAACCAACAAAATGTTCTCTGTATCTATGAGAATGTTTCTGTTCTTCCTGTTCATTTTGTTTGTAGATTCCATTGCCAATAGATATGTATTCATTGCCATTTTGTTCATATTTTTTATCTTTTTCTTCAAGAAGACCCTTCAACATTTCACATAATGGTTTGGTGGTGATGAACTCCTTAACTTTTTCTTGTCTGGGAAACTCTTTATATGGCCATCGATTTTAAATGACAGCTTTGCAGGATAGAGTAATCTTGGTTGTAGGTTGTTGCTTTTCATCACTCTGAAGATTTCTTGCCACTCCCTTCTGGCCTGCAAAGGTTCTTTTGAGAAATCAGCTGACAGTCTTATGGGAACTCCCTTGTAGGTAACTAACTGCTTTTGTCTTGCTGCTTTTAAGATTCTCTCTTTGTCTTGAACCTTTTGCATTTTGATGATGATGTGTCTTGGTGTGGGCCTCTTGGGGTTCATCTTGTTTGAGACTCTCTGTGCTTCCTGGACTTGTATGTCTATTTCCTTCCCCAAGTCAGGGAGGTTTTCTGCCATTATTGTTTCAAATAGGTTTTCAATTTCTTATTCTCTCTCTTCTCCTTCTGGCACCCCCAAGATGCGAATGTTGGCACGCTTGAAGTTGTCCCAGAGGCCCCTTACACTATCCTCATTTTTTTGGATTCTTTTTTCTTTTTGCTGTTCTCATTGGGTGTTTTTTGCTTCCTTGTATTCCAAATCGATGGTTTGCTTCTTGGCTTTACCTACTCTACTATTGAATCTGTGTAAATTATTCTTTATTTCAGTTAGTGCCTCCTTCATTTCTGACTGTGCCTCCTTCATTTCTGACTGGTCCTTCTTTATGCTCTTGAGGCCCTCACTAAGTTCGCTGAGGTTCTCACTAAGTTCTTGAGCATCCTTATAAGCAGTATTTTGAACTCAGCATCTGTTAGGTTGCTTATCTCCATTTCGCTTAGTTCTTTTCCTGGGGTTTTGTTCTGTTCTTTCATTTGGGACCTGTTTCTTTGTGTTTGTTTCTGTGTGTTACTTAACTAGAGGTATGGGGCTAGCTGAGACCAGATGCTGCTTGTTTGAAAGAATTTAGGAAAACCTGAAGCAGGATCCAAGACAGGCCAATCCTATGGTTAAGCAAGTGGCAACAGCTTAGGTGGGCCTGAAAGTTGGGTGGGACAGGGCCTCAGGGAATCACCAGGGAAGGGCAACCAGTGTGAGCCAGGTTGCTGGAGTCCCAGAGTATGGCAGCTGTCTGCCGTCCCAGGGAGGGGCTCACCAAAGGAACAAAGGCCTTTGACGGCACCTCTGTCCCGGAGAAAGCCCCCTCTCCAGTCCTCGTTCCAATGCCAAACAGCTCAGTTCTTCCCTGTATGTCTCTGGCACCCCTCGAGCTGCCTCCCCTCCAAGCTTAGAGGGAGCAAGTTCGATAAGTCTGTGCGCGGGCCCTTTAAGAGGAGCTGCCTGGGGCTCCAGCCACCTCAGCCTCCCTGAGCCTCAGTTCCCGCTGGTTTTTCCAGCCAGAAGTTATGGGGATTCTCTTCCTGTCACAGGAATCCTGAGCTGGACCACGGTGTAGGATGGGGACCCCTCAGTCCTCTGGGAGGACCTTCCTAGCTGAGGTGGCCTGATTTTTATCCACCACACAAGGATGTGGGGCTAGCCCTGTCAGCCTCCACCCCTCCTACCAGTCTCGGTGCAGTTGCTTCTTTAATTCCGTAGTTGTAGGACTTCCATTCAGCTTGATTTCAGGCGGTTTTGAGTGATGATTGTTCTGCAGTTTCGTTGTAACTGATGTTGTGGGAGGACATGATGCTGTGTTTACCTACGCCGCCATCTTGACCGGAAGCTGTATTATCTCTTTTAATCCTCACTAGTACTCAGGTATAGGTAATATTATCCTAATCTTATCAGATGAGGAAACTAAAGCTTAGAGGTGTTGAAGAATTTGCCCAAGGTCTTGAAACTTTAGGAAGTTGCAGAACCAGACTTGAAAGCAAGATCTGTCTTTCTGCAGAGCCTATGCTTAACCGCTAGCTAGCTCAGCACGACTGTTCTGTAGTTGCTCCCCTAACAATCGTAAGTTATGAGGTACTGTTATGTGGGTTTTTTTTTTTTTTTTTTTTAAGTTGAGGTTTTAGAGAGAGAGGGAGAGGTAGAAACATTGATGTGAGAGAGATACATTGATTGGCTGCCTCCTGCACACCGCTTACTGGGGATCAAGCCTGTAACCCAGGCATGTACCCCAACCGGGAAACTAACCGGGACCTCTCAGTCCATGGGACAAAGCTCACCACTGAGCCACACTGGCCAGGCATGAGTTACTATTTTAACAGAGAGAGAATGTCAGTATAAAGTAACAAGACAATTGTAAAGTTGCATGCTTCTCATTCTCTTTACTGTGTAGTCATCTCTGCATTAAGATTTATGAGATTATCATTTCTAAACATCCAAAAGGCTTCTGCATTGGGTGAACATTCATAAAAGAATGATGTATGTTTATTGATAGAAAGCTTTTTTTTTTCATTTTAATATTCTTTTTAAAATTGATTATGGTTTCAAAATTAGATTATGTAAAAGGAAAGACATTGCAAACTTTAACTTCCATCTATGCCAGAGCCTACTCTATTCCTCCATTCCACCCCCGACTCCTGTGGTACCTGTTTTTATTAGTTCTTGTTTATCCAACCACTGTTTATACAAAGATAAGCAAAAAGGCGTATTTTCTACAAATAGAATCTGTTTTTTTCTCTATCTGCTTCAGTTTTCAGTGAGAAAAAAATTTTATTAACAAAGTTTACTCTCTTTCTAGCAGTTCTCTATAGTTTAGTGCTTTTCCTTTGAGAAGTCTAATAACATATGGGAGCAGGAGTTTCTGTCACAGGTGATTTTTAAAAATTCCTTAATCTAAATAGGTGAATTGCTCTAGATCACAGTATATTTGAAAATTATTTGAAGTAGGAAAAATCCCCCCAAAACTGAACAGCTCATCAACATGTTCTGTGTTTGTGTCTGATTTTGAGGTATGATATACACTGTGGTAGCATTAATTAAAAGACAAAACATATCTCTCTAATAAATAGTATCCATTTTTGGTTCAGTCCAATGGCTAACTTTCCTTTCTTTTTATTCATTGTAGTTGAGGCAGTCCCAGTCCTACTGCACAGACACAGAATGTCTTCAGGAATGTAAGTAACAAGGGGACAGGAGGAGGGTTGGCACTGAGGGCAGAATTTGAGGCCAGAAGACTATGAATGTTTGTCAGAAATTGTTCTTGCAGTTTGCTCTTTAAGGAAATGGTCCTCTGCAATGTTTCCTACTTAAATAACTAAGTTTTAACAAAAAAAAATTGTTTTTTTTTTCCTGTCTCAGAAACAAACCCTATTCATTGAAGAAAATTATAAAAATCTCAGAGAAGAAAAAAAGAAAAGGAAAAACTTCCAGAATATTAAAAGATAACCATTGTTGACTAACTTGGTATAAACCCTTCCAGACCTTTTACTTGGCAAATATATATGTAACAGGGCATTTTTGGCTGGTTGAACTTTCATTGAGGCTGTTAGCACAACACCTTGCTCTCGCCTTAGCATCTATTTTCATCCACTGGGTTTTGAGAATTTTTGAGGAAAGGAAGAGGCCATTCTTTCATAAGATTTGGAAACTTTGGGAACCTGTGGAGTCCATTCCTTTGACTCTGACATTAGCATTCTCAAGAGGAATGGGCAGCAGGGAGGTTTCTATGTGGCTTTATGTGCAGTGGCGATAGTAACTGTGTGCATCAGAGCAGGAATATGGGTCCTGCATGGTGAATGTAGCTGACACACATGGTGGCCATTATGTTAGGGCATCCTTTTTCAGGACAGAGATAATTTGAGGGATACTTTTGGGGAATTGATAATTAACATTTAAGCCAATCCAGTCTTGTGCCATATTAATTCAACTGTTTAAGAATGGAAGTATGTTGACATTCACAGGAATAGTGAAGCCTAGCACAATTAGATTTCATATACACTTATAAAAATGAGATCGCCCTGGCCAGTTTGGCTCAGTGGTTAGAGCGTCGGCCTGCGGTACAGAGAGACCCGGGTTCGGTTCCCGCTAAGGGCACGTACCTCGGTTGCAGTTTGTCCCCAGCCCTGGTTGGTCGTGCGGGTGGCAGCCACTCGATGTGTCCCTTCACGTCGATGTTTCTCTCTCTCTCTCCCTCCCGCTCTATCTGAACAAAAAATGGAAAAATGTCCTCGGGTGAGGATAAAAACAAAACAAAAACAAAAAATAAAAAAATAAAAATGAGATCGCCCTGGCCAGTTTGGCTCAGCGGTTAGAGCGTCGGCCTGTGGTCCGGAGAGACCCGGGTTCGGTTCCCGCTAAGGGCACGTACTTCGGTTGCAGTTTGTCCCCGGCCCTGGTTGGTCGTGCGGGTGGCAGCCACTCGATGTGTCTCTTCACATCGATGTTTCTCACTCTCTCTCCCTTCCTCTCTCTCCCTCCCTCTCTATCTGAACAAAAAATGGAAAAATATCCTCGGGTGAGGATAAAAAAAAAAAAAAAAATGAAATCACTTGGTATTGTTTTTCACTACTGTATTATGAATATATCAGTATATATTTATCTTAAAACTATTTACCAACTAAATAATAATTTATTATGGGAATGTACCAGTGTTTAAATGTTTCCCTTTTGTTGGACTCTTAGGTTATGATACATTTTTTGCTCTTATAAGCAATACTTAAACACCATTTGTATGCACATTTTAGGGTTTTTGATATAATGCTAAATTGCAAGGACAAATTGCAACCAAGTTACGTGCCCTTAGCAGGAACCGAACCCAGGTCTCTCTGGACCACGGGCCAATGCTTTAACCGCTGAGCCAAACTGGCCAGGGCTCAGGTACCATTATAAAGGGGCTTGTTATTACATTATTAATTGTTGTTATTGTGGTGTGAACTGGATATCCCATCAAATTCTATAAATGTAACAACTAAGAGAAATAGGAACTGGTACAGCGCCTCTCCCAAAGTAGGAATTTTGTCAAAATGTAGTCCATTGGGGCAACAGGGTAATAATTTTATGCCTCTGGACAAGAAGGTAATGGTACTGTGCAGATGTTAAGTTGTTAGGATGATGGGTGGTGGTTCCCCCACTTCACATTTCTTTATGTTGCTTCTTTAATAGCATTTATTAATCTACAGTGTGCCCTCTGATAAGCAACTCAGTTTTTGACTCAGCAGGTAAAGCTAAAGATTATCGAAAATAATCTTACTGAGTTTACAGAAAAACTAGTGTTTATTACATTTATGGTATTTGTGACCCTTTAGCCAACCCCACCTATAAATAGATATATTCTTATTTCTGTGGTTGAAATTTCACTTTCTTAATTTAAATATAAAGTCAAACTCTACACCTTGAATATTAGTTTGGTCATATAGGCTAGTTTTTCCCCACCAGTTCTTTTAGCATTTGTCGGAATCCTTTCTGAGAGCCATATTTTTAATGGTTTAAGCAGTTGTTTCCTCTAGATAATAGAATCACTTTTCTGTTTATTTTTAATATTCTCTAGTGAGCTCATGTTGTTTTCATAAAATGTAAAGCCAGGGGGTTCCTGTTACTCCCCTCTTCAGGTTCAATAATTTGCTAAAATGGCTCACAGAACACAGGAAAACAAATGACTTACTGTTACTGGTTTATTATAGAGGATACAACTCAGGAGCAGCCAAATGGAAAAGATGCATAGGGTGAGTTAGGGGGAGAGGGGGAGAGTTCCTCTGCCTTCTTTTGGTGTGTCATTCTCCCAGCACAGTGATGTGTTCACCAGGCAGCAGGCTCTCTGAACCCCATTGTTTAGGGTTTTTATGAAGGTTCCATTATGTAGACATGAGTGATTAAATAATTGGCCATTGGTGGATAACTCAATCTCTAGCCCCTTTTCTCTCCCTGGAGGTCAGGGAGTGGAGCTGAAATTTTCAGCCCTCTTAATCACATAGTCAGACTCTGGCAACCAGCCCTTATCCTGAAGCTAAGTAGGGGCCCACCAAGTGTCACCTCATTAGCATAAACTAAAAAATGGTTGAAAGAGATTAATTATGAATAACAAAAGATGTTCCTATCAATCAGAAAATTCCAATGGTTTTGGATCTCTGTTCCTGGAACCAGGATGAAAGTCAAATATATATTTCTTCTTATATCATAATATTGCAGTACCCATTGGGCCTGCCATGGTGTGCTGCACATTTTAGATGATGTAATTGATGTAATACCACATTACTTCATGTGGTAGCAGAATCTATTTGCAATCTATTAACAGATCTAGTTGCTGCATGAGTCTTTATATTGCACTAAATTCCACTTCATTGCGATGTACTCCCATAGTTTTGCTCTCAAGAATAGTATAGAACAAGTCTGCCCACACTTCTGAAATACTGCCTTTTAGATAGAGTTGTATGGGAACCAGTTCTATCACTGACTGACTTTTGAAGTAAATCGCTTGAAAACTGGTAACTGTACTAAGGATAATGTAATTACTGTACACCAGCAATTTTCCACCCTGTTCATCTGCTGGCATACATAGACTAATTAAAATTCTGTGGCGTACCCAAAATATATTTTTTGCCAGTCTGACAAAAAAAAAAAGGTATAATTTTGATTCATTCACACTGGATGGCTAGTGTTGCGCTGGCTATTGTCATTTTTTAAAATTTGAAATTCTAAAGGAAAAGAGGTCAGTGCCCCTGACTAAATTAAATAGTCAGGTATCGCACGTTTTAAAAATTCTTGCCCTGGCCAGTTTGGCTCAGCAGTTAGAACGTCATCCCCCAGGACCAAAGTTCAATCCCTGTCCCTGGTCGGCCTCATGTGGGAGGCAACAAGTTGATGTGGCTTTCTCATACTGATGTTTCTCTCTCTCTCTGTCCCTCCCTCCTACTCTATCAAAAAAAAAAAAAAAAAAAATCAGTGGAAGAATTTCCTCAGGTGAGGATTAACAACAAGAAAAATTCTTGTGGCACACCAGTTGAATATTGCTGCTGCATATGACCCAAAAATTAAAGGCTTACGGCCTGGTACTGTGTCCACTTTCACTGTTCTAGTTCCACTTTTCCCACTGGAAACCTATAAAAGTATATAGAAATAATCTCTCAGGATCTGCGAGCTCATAGAGCTTCTTTCTCTACTTTTTCATCTTACTGTATTCAGCTACGTTAATAGCTTCTTTGTGAGTATTTCATTTGGCATCTTTTTTATAATACTCATGTTGTCTTATAACCAAGACTTAACCCTTAAGCAAAACAGAACACTGTGTTTTGGTGTACAAAGTCCTGCTACATTTTTATGATTTGGCATCTTTCCAGACTATAAAGTAAAAAGTATTTACTCTCTTCTTTTTCTTAATCCTCACCTGAGGACATTTTTCTTTTTCTTTTTTTAAAATCCTTATTGTTGAATGTATTACAGATGTTCCTCATTTTTTCCCCCATTGACCCCCTCCTCCCCACTCCCACCCCCCTACTGCCTTTTCCCATACTGTTGTCTGTGTCTGTTGGTTATGCATATAAGTTCTTTGGTTTATTTCTTCCCACCTCCCAACCCCTTTCTCTTTGAGGTTTGTCAGTCTAGCACCCAATTTGTTCTTCTTAATCCCTTCACCTTTTTCACCCACTCCCCAAAACCCCCTCCCATCTGGCAACCAACAAAATGTTCTCTGTATCTATGAGAATGTTTCTGTTCTTCCTGTTCATTTTGTTTGTAGATTCCATTGCCAATAGATATGTATTCATTGCCATTTTGTTCATATTTTTTATCTTTTTCTTCAAGAAGACCCTTCAACATTTCACATAATGGTTTGGTGGTGATGAACTCCTTAACTTTTTCTTGTCTGGGAAACTCTTTATATGGCCATCGATTTTAAATGACAGCTTTACAGGATAGAGTAATCTTGGTTGTAGGTTGTTGCTTTTCATCACTCTGAAGATTTCTTGCCACTCCCTTCTGGCCTGCAAAGGTTCTTTTGAGAAATCAGCTGACAGTCTTATGGGAACTCCCTTGTAGGTAACTAACTGCTTTTGTCTTGCTGCTTTTAAGATTCTCTCTTTGTCTTGAACCTTTTGCATTTTGATGATGATGTGTCTTGGTGTGGGCCTCTTGGGGTTCATCTTGTTTGGGACTCTCTGTGCTTCCTGGACTTGTATGTCTA